TCTCAAACTTCCAAATTACTATTGCCACCCCCCCACCCCAGGTACAGGACCTGGCCTCGGTCATTAATGTATGCTCTTTTTAAAACTGGCACCGCAAACGTCAATATACTTCTGGGAAAAAAAAATCACCATAATAAAAATTATTAGAACTTTTATGGTGTGCTTTTCATCTCCACAGTGACTTATAAATATTACGGTGCCCAAGAATAGGGCCCTACCCAATAGAGCTCTCAGTTCCTGGAATAACGGGGCAACCCGCAAATATTTCAGGCCAGCCTGCTTCCTCGTCTTTGATGGGGTGTGGAGTGAAACCCGTTTACATCAGGATTCCTTTTCTCTCTCATTCAGAAGCAGCTTGCTGCCCTTATTCAAAGAGTTGCTGAGTTTTCTTCTCTGCAGAGCTTTGCTCTGAGCAAACTAATCGTCTTCCAAAGCATGCCTAACCAAGTTTTAAGGTACGCATTATGAAAAAGGCACAAACACTTAGCATTTCTGAAGTTTTCTCAAAAAAAAGTCTCTATTCCAAGAATTTTATTTAATTTTGTTCAAGGTTATAGCATGTGCCTACTTAAATCTGAAGTTTGTTAGCTTGCTATTTCTGTTAGGCTTGTAAAATGAAAGCACTCATTTTCTTAAGGAATCTAAGAAAAAGCACATTGTCCTAAGACTCAGTTGTATCAGGACAGAAAAGGAAACACCTGTAGTTAGCATGATTCTCTCTGGACAGGACTGTACCAAGTGCTACTAAGAACAGGGATAGGAGCTGGTAGGGTCTACAAGAAAACCTAAAATCGACTCTATGTAATTTCCTGAAAAACATTCTTTGATTAGACAAAGGGAAATGAAGGGCAGGGAGGGGAGATGGGATTAGGAAAGACAGTAAATTGGTCATAACTTTCCTTTGTACATTCGTGAATACCTGACCAGTGAAACTCCACATCATGTACAACCACCAGAATGGGACGTTATACTCCCTGTATGATGATATGTCAAAATACATGCTACTGTCATGTATAACTAAGAAGAACAAATAAATTAATAGTAATAATAATAAAGAAAAAGTGAATTATATTAGCAATAACATTGCTTAAAAAAAGAAACACCAATGGTTTTGAATTTTTGAATTTTCTCAGACAATAAAAAATTCAAATAATAATAGAACTTGTTATTAAGTAATCTAGTCTTTGGCAAAGGAAGACCATGTTAAAACAGAGTATATGAAACTCTCTTTCATGCCCAACTATGTCTTATTAAAGAGTGGACATTGTACCACAGAAAGTGGAAAAAGTCAAAATCCTCCCAAGTATCAAATGACTTTATTCACTATGGAAATCTTACCAAGCTACCTAAATTTTTGTTAATTTTTTTAACTGAACAAAATTTATGCCAGCCTCGATCTTGGCAACTACTCCAATATATACCTGTGATTCTCCAAGGAGTCCATGAACATGGGCCTCCGTCTCTGAGTGCTCTTGGCCATGGTAGTAAATTCCAGGTAAGAAATTCCAGGTAAGAAAGCTCCTTGCAACCAGAGAAAATATGGAAAAGGGTTGAGAAAGTATTTCAGAGTGCGTGGGGGTTGTGAAGGTTCATGAAACCTTGCCTTGTGCCCAGAGTAGCCCCACAGTGACACTAATATACAACTGCAGGGCTTTGTAAGAACTCAGAGACTCTGTCATTTCCACATCTCATTTTTACAAATGAATAAACTGAGAGTAGGATTTAAGTCATTGCATTTGAAAAGTGGGTGGGATTAGAACAGAATTAGTATCACCCAAAGAGCATCATTTCAGTTAATTGTATGTGGCACCTTGGCCGGACGCTTGGTTCCTGGGTGTTGGGTTCAATATTATTCGGGGTGTGTTGGATGACTTGCATGGATAAGATTAATGTTTGGATCAGTAGATTCAGTACAGCAGATTTCCCTTCCCAATGTGGAGGGCCATCGTCCAACGTGTGGAGGGCTTTCATAGAATCCAAAACCTGAGTAAGAAACAATTCTTCTTCTCTGATAGTCTTTCAGTCATCTCCTACCTTTACATTTGAACTCTGACTGGAACTTAGACCGTCAGCCCTCCTGGTTCCCAGTCCTGAGTTCTGTCTGGAACTAGACCGGAAGCCACTTTGCATTGAGACTTCTTGGCTTCCGTAATCTCATTACCCATTTCCACGTCAGACCTCTTTCCCTGTCTCTGCACACACACACATGTCCTGTGAGTTCTGTTCCTCTGGAGAACCCTGATGTAAATGCTGAGTTCAACAGGGACAAAATGAACAAATTCCAGAATTCTAGAACAACAACAACAATAACAACAATAACAAATACTGTTGAAATAAATATACCAAATAAATAAAGCAAACGAAGTAATAAATTATGGCTCAGAAAGAGTGTCTATTCCTTCCTGTTGCTTCAAGAGGAAATATGGGGTGTTGAACTCCAAAGGCAACAAGATATTAGGATTACTCATGGGAGGTAATGATTATGCTACTGGATTTGGGGTTCAGAGAAATTGCAGGCCATCCCTCACCATTTGTGAAGATTCATGAAACCTTGCTTTTTGCCCAAAGTAGCCTCACAGTGACACTAATATAAAACTGTAGGGCTTTGTAAGAACTCGGAGACCCTGTCAATTCCACATATCATTTTTACAAACGAATAAAGTGAGAGTAGGATTTCCTTCCTGTTGCCTCAAGACGGATATGGGTTGTTAAAATCCAGAGGCAACAAGATATTAGGATTACTCATGGGAGGAATCCTTAGATGCCCTCCGTTTCTCTTTCTGCTTTTAAAGAGAGCAGGCATGCCCCCCTATAAGTGACTCTCTGGTGTAAAGTTAAAAGGGGAGAATGGAACAATAAAAGAGAGTTCATGGAGCTGCGCGGGGGAAGTCCACATTATCTGGGCAGCCCTTAGCCTGAGAATCACTTGTCCCCAGTATCCTGTCTCTTGTTCCTTATTTCCTGCTCCTTCTCTGGCTGTGTCTGGGTCCAGCCACATCTTTTCCCTCTCCTGTAGGAAGTATGGAAATAAATTAATTATCGTATGGGTAAGACTTTATAACAGTCACCCACTCAGTCAATAAAGCCATTTATTGGAAATGGTCACGTGTTCCAGGGAGGTAGGTCTATCCTGCAGAAAACTTCCTTGCTGTGGAGTGACCACCCCTGGTTTTATTTTTCAGTGAGGTTCAGTGTCAAGGTAGGTGGACAGCCCATTCCTCTTGAAGCTATTTTGACTTTTGACACAAAGACGAAATTGGCTTATACGGTCCATCGGGCCCTGAAAGAACTGCAGTAACTGATTTCATTAGTGGTTTCATTCATAAGCAGGAGATTGCAGCAGCTCCGTTTTCTAAACAACTTAGAGTGTCCCTTGTTCCCTGACAAATATTCTATATTTTTCATGTCTCCATATTAGTGAAATGGAGATGCTTAAGAGGAGTCTCAGATCTCACCAAGGGTAAAGATTCAAAGGGAGCCACAGGTTAGACTGCTTCATATTAATGCCAAATTACATTCCAAAACACTTAGCAGGAAGTGATGAATAAGCAAATACTAGATCAGATATTGGATAACATAGTCTTTTAAGCACCCCAGAAATCAGAAACCAAAAGAGTACTCTGCAAATATATAAGACTGACAAGACATGATTTGCCTTTGGATTCACGTACAATGATTTTGCATCTTATATTCACCGGATTGGCGGAAACGCCAATTTCAGTAGATTTAACTCTGGATCTCCTTTCTAGGGAGGAGGACAAAAATCTTGTCTCAGCAGGTTGGGGAAGCCATTAAGCTCCTACACCAGACACACACAGATGTGCGCTGGAAATGGCTGCTGTGGACACGCGTGAAGCAATTGGTATCTGTTGTTGTTGTTTGATGAGCTCCATAAAAACCACAGCCAGCCCCCTTCCAGCACCAGGCTCATTAATTTGAACTGTATGCGCAACGTATTCCTCAGGCGAGGAGCAAATTCTAGGCCAATGGAAAAACCAATGTCCATCTGTGACTGACTCCGTGGGGGCCTTTTAAAGAGTCCTGAAACATGGAAGGAATGAAAATGACATCCGATTTTAAGAATTATGCGCACGGAGGGTTTACGCTTGATGGTGAGGACAGTTCAAATAAGTTGTACCTGATTGGAAACTTTGCACCATGCGAAGAAAGCGAAACCAGTGTGTGTCCTGCCCACTCTGAGCTCCCCAGGACAACGAATGACAGTGGCTTGGAGGTGCTGGTTGGGGGTTGAGAGCAGGGTAAACCCCTCCACGCTGTCTGGGAAGGAAATGGAGGGACATCCTGAGTGGCAGTCACCTCCCGTGTTCTCCGGGCTCTGCGCTTCCAGGAACTCTCTCGGATCCATCCTAGAGGACACTCTACCCACAGGAATCTTCCTAAATCCTTGGCTAACATGGGATTTTGTTTATGATTGCAGAAAACATCTGACAACCGAGCCCAGGTACCATGCCAAATATACGTTGACCACAACATAGAAAACCTGGTCCAATACCTCTGATCTCAGATTCTTTATGATGTAACAAGAAGGCCCCCTGGAGAGTGCTGTCGGGTTGTAATCATGACCTGACTCTTGTTCATGCAACTAACTTAGAATGTGGAATCGGCTGAAAGGGTAAACTGGGCTCTGAGACGCTGTTCACGGGAAGTCAGGATGGCTGGGTTATTTTATGTGGGTGCCCATTTCCCTTCATTTCTTTTCCTTTGCCGCGAAGCACTTCTTTTGGTCATTATCATGACCGAAATGCCTAAAAAGTGAGTCTGGCCAGGCGCGATCCGTGGTGCGCACCTGTAACCCCAGCGGCTCGGGAGGCTGAGGCAGGAGGATCTCGAGTTCAAAGCCAGCCTCAGCAACAGTGATGCTCGAAGCAACTCAGTGAGACCCTGTCTCTAAATAAAATACAAAATAGGGCTGGGGATGTGGCTCAGTGGTTGAGTGCCCCCGATTTCATTCCCTGGTACCCCCCCTATAAAAAGTGACCCTGGAAAAACATTGTGTATATACATGTTTTGGGGGTGCAAATATTTCTCATCCCAACTTGATTCAGACATTAAAGCACACCATGCCTTCTAATAGCTGATGCTTTGAAAGAAGCCCAACTATAAACAAATAATTATATTTTATTTGGATGTAGGGAGCATTTTCTAAATACTGAAGTGAGTGGCCTGGAGTACATTCAAATGCACAGAGATGCAAAACCATTTTGTATCTATCATCCTCTTCAAAGGGGAGTTATTTTTACTCTCCATATAAAAGTCTCTTGAAAGACGCAGCAGTTGCAATTCCCTGGATTAACTTGGCACCTCTGAATGTATGCAATCATGTGTGAACTTTCAAATTCAAAAGTGTTTAAAATTGTTTTTATTAATGTACCACAGATATTTACAAGATCTTAATAATATACATTTTTCTTCTTTCCAAACAAGTCTGTATTAAGAATTTGCGTGTTGGAGGCTGGAGAGCATATTTACAGAATGATTTAGCTTTCAGAAAACTCCCAACCATTTATGGTTATATTCATCGTATAAGCAGCTGAATAGCAAAACAGTAAAAAACCGGTAATGATGACGGACAGGAAATGGGTGCGAGGTTCTAAGACTTGATTTCCTCTGGAACTCAGACCTGCAAAATAAAAAGGAGAACACAAAACCACTTGGAAACATATAATGGCTCATTAGATCAATTCTTCAAGATACAAAACACTCATTTCTCTTCCAGTCATATATTTTATTATATTCACTTTAATTATAATATGTTTAATTTTAGGAGCTCCCTTTACTCTTTGTTTTAGGCTGTTTTAAATGCAAAACAGCAGTCAAAGAGGGTCCAAATTGGTGATGCCTGCCTGAAGTGCAGGTTTAAATTGGTCACGGCTGGGTGTGGTGGCTCACATCTGTAATCCCAGAGACTTGGGAGGCTGAGGCAGGAGGATTGAAAGTTCAAAGCCAGCCTTAGCAACTTAGAGAGGACCTAAGCAACTCAACAAGACCCTGTCTCTAAATAAAATACACAAAAGGGCTGGGGATATGGCTCAGTGGTTAAGTGCCCCTACATTCAATCCCTGGTACCAAAATAAATAAAATAAAATAATAAAATACACTTGGATGGTTGATGATTGGACATTAATCAGAGCCACAGGCCCTCCTCATTCCTTTCAAGCAAAGACGCTAAAATATTCTTATATCCTAAGTCTGACTGATTGGCACTGGCCTGAATAAGGATCTTACTGCCAAGTTGTGGTGGGGTTCATCATGAATGCGGTTGGTTGATTGGTGATGTCTGCCCTGAATCTGGAAAGCGAGGTATGGGAAGCACACTTCTCATTTGCTACCCGTGTTCTACGAGGCCTTTAAGAATCCATTAAAAAAAAAAAAAAAAATTCTGCATCTTTGGTGCCAACAGAATGAATGAAGAAATTGCCCACCAAGAACACAGGGAGTTTTTTTTTTTTTTTTCTCAAATGAATAAACCTAAGACTGCCATGAATAATGCACAATGCAAGTTGGAAAGATTAAAGAAAAATCGTCTCCTCCCTTCTGGTTCACCAATAAAAATGGAACCACAGGCCTTTTCGTTTCTCCCCAATAATCTAACAAGAATTAGGAAGTTTCTTGAAGCCCAGGTTTCCTTGCGCAGCTGTTTAGACTGGAAAATCTATGAGAGCCCCTGGGGCCCCACTCACTGGACATTTTTGGAATTCTGATCTCCTCACTGCTGCTTCCGTCCCCGCCGTCGCTGACCGTCCTTATCTCTATCAAGTAGTCTTCTTCAAAGGGCACCAGGAGCTCAGCGGAGGTATTGTTTGTTTCCAAAATATGAGTCTTGCTCTGTCTGTTCTGCCGGTACAGAATCTGCATGAAATGGTGAATGGGGTTAATAGGGACCTGAGACACGTCACACCCCGTTATGGAACACTATGAGGCACGTCATTATCCATACTGTGACCCTCATATGAAAGAGTTAAGGCGATGTCTGTTCTTTAAACACATTTGTTGCTAAGAGAAAGATTTATCTGCCGGGTACTGTAATCCCAGTGACTCAGGAGGCCGAGGCAGGAGAATCCAAAGGGTGAGGCCAGCCTCAGCAGTTTATCCAGGACCTATTCAACTTAGCAAGAATCTATCTCAGAATAAAATAAATCAGTAAATAAAAAGGGCCGGGGATGTGACTCAGTGGTAGGGCACACTTGGGTTTCATCTTAGTTTAAAAAACCAACAAAAAAAGAAAGAAACAAAAAGATTTCTACTTTGGCCACTGTCTCTGGAATGACTAGATTTATCTCTGCTAATTAAGTGGCTTGAGGCTATCCTCATTGGTGCTGGCTGTTTAAGTCGGTGTTAGGTTTGGACCCATGTCAAGTGTCTGAGTATGTATTCCCACTGATGGACATGCTGTGCTCCGGGTACTTGGCGATACCCTTGTTAAATCATCTGAATGATTTTGAAAGGTCACAGCATACTGGACCCTGAGTTCTAGAAATTCTATTTGAATGTATCCTTTGACCTCATAGACGTTTCACATCTACTACCCAAACACACATCACCTTTTGATGGCAAAAGGAGTCACCTTAAAAAAAAAAATACAATATGGAACCCTGTAAAATTTTGTATTATGATGGCCCAGGATATATCACTGGACTCAGACTCTGAGACCTTTTCAGTCAAGCACCCTAAAGCACCAATTTTTCAAACAACTTTGTAAAATCATCCTGCTGGGTGCCATGAGGGTGCACGTCTATAATCCCAGCGGCCCCGGAGGCTGAGGCAGGAGGATCTTGAGTTCAAAGCCAGCTTCAGCAATGGTGAGGCCCTAAGCAACTCAGTGAGACCCTGTCTCTAAATAGAATACAAAACAGGGCAGGGGGGGGGTGGCTCAGGGGTCGAGTGCCCCTGAGTCCAATCCCTGGTACCAAAATAAATAAATAAATAAACCAAAATTATCCTGTCTCCATAGGCAGCAAATTTGTCTTCTACTTTTTTAAAAAAAATGACATTCCTGATTCCTTGGTGTCATAATTCATAGAACTAAAGGGAAAAGTAAGACTCACCTTGTAGCCCAACACTTCAGACTCGTTTTCCATGGTCTTCACGTGCTCCCAGTTCAAGCATAACTTGGAGTTCGAGAGCTTCCAGGCAATGTTGGCGGGTGGTTGGCTGGGAGCTTTAAAAGACAATCAAAGAATCCAGTGAATATTAATCAGCTCATGGCCACTGCACGCTGTGCTATAACACGAAATGGGAAGAACGAGTCTCCGATGATTAGCATAGAAGGAGCTAAAATGTTTTCGGTGTCATTTGAAATCTCGTGTTAATTGTAATCAGAGTAAGCAGAATTGATTCCAATTCCGGTCATTTGAGAATGTCTTTGTGACAAGCGTATGAATTAATAATGGCTTCCCGAATGTCCAGTGTTAATTTATTAATCATGGCCGTTGAGTGTGTTGGTTGTGTACAAATGAATCAAAAGTCTCTAATGATTAGGATGGCATTGAGCTGTCAGTCAATGGGTATGTTAAGCAAATTCTGGTGGCGTTGGAACTGTTTAGGACTCTTTGGCTGTAACACTGCAACCAACTCAAGATATCCTAAGCAAAATATTAGTGGTTGATTTTAAAGAAAATAGGGGAATCTGTTAGCAGAGTCTGGAGAAGAGAAAAATGTCAAGGTCTTAGCACAGTCTGCTGTGTGTTCATATTAGTATAGACCATGTCTTTGTCATTCTGAGTGTATGTGACAGAAGTCCTAACTGCCCAGACTATTTGAAGATGGAAAAAGCCTCTATTCACAGATAGCTCAAGCTAGAATTCTGATGAGAAAAGTGTGTCTATCTCAACTCTATCACCCATGCTGCACAGTAAGCATGGAGTATGTCATTTAACGTAAATAGAGCTGGTGGGAACCCAAAAAAGGGGATAAATAAATCATCAGGAAGAGACTGATTATTCCACGGGGTGTCTCCTCCAACTCCAAACTGTGGCTTTGAGTTCTTTGAAAACAATGGTTTTTTTTTTTTTTTTTTTGGTGGGGGGGAGGGGAAGTCAGGAACTAGAGGCAGCCTCCTAAAAGTATAGGATCCCAGTTCACCAAGACAGATTTACAAACAAGAAATCCAGATTCCAGGCCGGGAAGTCACTCATCCCGACAAACACAGCTATCTGGAGGCAGACCAGGTCAGAAGGCGGGTCTCTTGGTTTCCAATCAGGTGCGTCCCTATGACCAGGGGGACAGAGATTTGACCTGGACAAAGATCTGAGCCCCAGGTGATTGTTTTTGACATGTGAAAAAACTAGGAGAGATTTAACATCATCCAGCTGCAAAGCAGAGGCAAAGATAAAACTTCCCAGGAAGATGTTTCTTGGCAAGTCTTTGGAGTTTGAGAAGCTGAATGACCCTGGCAGATATGATGTCTGTTGGAATTTTTACTTACCTACTGCCTCAGCTCTTACACAGTATTGGAAATTCTTTCTCATCATGCAGGATGCAGGGTGTCCCATGTGGTATGACCGTGCATTCCCTGGTCTCCAAATCCATCGGAACACCACTACTGTTCACCTGGCCACAAATGTCACCCTTGGGACATGTAGAGAAATGCTCCCTCCGATGCTCCCATGGGGGCTCCGTTTATATTTATTGTGAATTTATCATGATGAATGACAGTTCCTCTCGGCCACGTGTTTCTCTAACTTTGCGCAGGATCTGAGCCTTCTCAACTCTGTTATTACTGACCCCAGCACCCTCGTGCGTGGCACAGAAGAGGCACCCAATTCAGATATGTTTCATAAGTGTCTTGCAATCAGATGGTGAAAGAAAACTTCTCAAGGTCCTTTGCCATTTTCTCAGGTCACATTGATCATGCCGTGGGCCACGGGCAGATTCGTAGGTGACCCAATGTGGACCAGCCATTCATTATGTTGTCCTACCTTCAAAGACAACTGCCGAAGTTGGACCCACGGCAATCCATGTGTGTTCGTTAGATGGACAGACCCATCGGACTGACCGTCTCCTAGAACGAACCCAGCCCTAATTAAAGGCTCGAGAAGTCTATGTTCAGCAAAGGCTGAATGCCTCCCTGCCAATACATTTACCTCTGAAGGACCAGATGGCAATATTAATGATTTTTGTAACTATCCTCCTGTATTTTACTCCAAAGTGTCTGTTCTCATCTTTTTTTTTCTTTCTTTTTCTCAGCTGTTAGAAAAAAAACATAAGTAATATGAAAAGTCTCACAAGATATTCCGGCTTTAAAAATCTGGTATACTTTTTGGTTGTCTTTCTTTGATTTCTTGTTCTTTAAGACGGAGCAGCAACATGAACTTCATCATGCAATCAATATGCAGCAAATAAAAATTCATCCTTCAATGTCGTTGGGCCTGATGGATTTGGAACGTTTCTTCGGGTGCTGGGTTGGATTTGTTTGCTCATGTTAGAGAAAAAGCACTGTTTTGAACCTCCAGAGTTCACTGATGAAGCAAATGTGCAAGAAGGAGACAGAGAACTGACTTACACCAGCAGTGTGGATGAGTGAGTTGTGACCTTGTCAATAACCTTGTGATTGACATGTTTGCTCTTGTTTCCTCATCAATCAAAGCAGAAGCAAAATACCCCAATAATATCTGAGGGGACTTCCGCCAGGAGTACTTTGGAATGAGTGGCCAGTTACATGGATTAATTAGAATGCTTTATTTTTCTTGCTATCACAAGAGTAAAAAGAGGCAGCCTTTGAAGTCAGAGAGAACTTGAATTTGCATCTATTCTCTGCCAACAGCCCTGGTTGTCTTATTTTTTGAAATGAGACTAATCACTCCTAGTTTATAAGATTCTCAGCCTATATGAAACAAAATATGAAACGTGCTTCTCTTCCTTAGTGGTACATATTAAAAAAAAAACAAAAACTCAATAACTGTTAATTCTCTCTCCTAAGACCAGACGTTTGCCACTGTGGTGTTATGAAATAATCAGTTTTTCAATGGTGTTCAACCATGGTTTGTTACCAATAGTAAAATTCAGAAGCGGGCAATTGATTCACTTCTTAAGTATAATTAGCATATATTCAAGACTGTCCCTTAATAATACAACTCTCACTTGCTTCTTTATAGGATTTTTGAAAGGAAGATACAAATGGAAGACTCTCGGCTAATTATCTGGGAAGTTCTACTAGTCTCTAACCTTTATCTTTATCCATAAGGGTTTCTAAAATGACCGTGCCACACATCTGCCATTAAAAAACAAAATAATAATAATAAAAAAACCTCTGAAAGCTCTTTAGAAGACTATCACCTTAAAAAGAGCACTGTTACCAGCTCTGTCTCCATGAAGCTGATTAAAGTGGGTTGTAAATGTCTAGGATGGAACTGTAATTTCTATTACCTTAAAAAGCCAAAGGCCAGGTGTGGGGGCACATGCCTATAATCCCAGTGGCTCAGGAGGCTGAGGTAGGAGGATAGTGAGTTCAAAGCCAGCCTCAACAAAAGCGAGGCTGCTAAGCAACTCAGTGAGACCCTTCCTTGAAACAAAATACAAAATAGGGCTGGGATGTGGCTCAGTGATCGAATGCCCCTGAGTTCAATTCCTCATACCCCCACCCCGCAAAAAGCCAAAGCTCTTCCTGTGGAATATATGAAACACATGTCATAAAGCCTGTACCAGGTTTATACTAGTAAACTAAACAAACAAGTACTTCTAGTTAAAAAAAAAAGTTTTGCAGGCAATTTCCAAGGACGAAATAATTTCCTATTAATCAAATGACAAAGCGACATTAAACTAGCCTCCACAGCTCTAATGGTCTCCCTGTAATCAATTTTTCTGTAGATGGCATTTATATTCAACTGTAGTTCACACTGTGAACTCAATTCAAAAACAACTTCTTATGTTACACTTCTGAGTAACAGCATGGGGCTGACATTTGGGCAAGAGAGAAAGAACATAAGTGCAAGAGAGAATAAAAGCTTAATGCTTCCTTTATGTCTAAATATGGATTGATTGCATATTTACAGCAAGAAAGAATCCAGCACCCAGCGCTAGTCAGTCAACGTCAGGGGCCAAACGGAGACAAAATTTGTAAACACTTTCTGCTCCTGTTTCTCAGTGCGTCTTTCTACGCGAGCAGGGCTTTGTTTGTTTTGTTTTGTGGTATTTTTTTTTTTATTTTTCTTTTCCTCTTAGAATTTATGTAAATATTTTCCTTCCTTTCGTTGAAAATCTAAATGCCTTGTAAGTGATGTCTGGGTGGATCACAGTATATTTGGAGATCCTCTGAGCTGCCTTTTGCAAATGTGTCATATCACTTAGCCACAGTCCGTACAGCTGAGTGGCTGAGGTTTATTAAATACAGGGACACCACTGTCATCATGGTCATCCATAGCAACAATAGTAGCACACTGAAGCAACTTTGTATTATGCAATTTTTTTTTTCAATGTAGAAGTCCTTCAGTCTTCTAATTCTTTGGATCTTTGATGACCTATCCAAATATGCATTCTTCCAGGACAGGTATCTCTTCTTGGATATATCTGAGACTCTTATTTTATTCACAGTATTTTCATAATTCATTATTATTTCAACTCCATCTTTGCTTACTTTCAGTTATTTTTCTACTACAAGAAAAAGTGCCTGAAGGCAAGAATCCCAAAAGCCACTATCTCTTTAGTGGATAAACAAATCATCTTATTTCCAGGAAAGAAAAAAAAAGGTTCTACCTCCTTTTTAGCTAACCCAATCAGACTAGGCAGAGATTTTGGTAAATATGAGCTCTGCTATCTCAATTCCCAGAGGAAGATCAGACATCAGAAAGAGAATCCACACACAGTGACAGTTTGAATGTGCGATAGATACAGAATTTTTTGATGTCACCACGACTCAGAGGTGATCGTGATGATATCTCAAGGACGTGGAGAAATCCAAGTGAAATCCAAGGCTGGTATTTAGAATCAGGGCTATCTCCAACATTTCATTAAAGGGATTTCTCATGTAGGCGGTGGGTGTCCTTCCAAAAGAAAATTTCTGCCACGAATTTATAAAGAGAAACATGGGCAGCAAAGAGCGGTTCCCTCCTGCTCTCTAACAATGCAAGGATGTGCAATCCCCTCTAAAGAAGAATCACACACAACAGGAGGCACGGAGCGCTCATACGTGGCAGCCACTGGGTCGCCAGGGTGTCCGCTAGCCACATCTTTCGGGTCTCATTGCTAGGGCTAGAGGTACACAGCATCCTTGCTCCTCTCTCAGATGAGAAGGTGTATCCAGAGTTGTCAAATAATGTGGACGCATCACACAGATGGACGAGGGCTGAGCGGGAGTCACATCCAGACGACTGTCAGAGCTAGTTGAGGGGTAGGAGAGGAAGAGACTTTGAGACAGACTGGCCAAGATCGAGTGTGTCTTTTTTTTTATTTTTTCATTCTATGGGAAAAAAGAGAAGAATGAAAATGTGGGGATATGGGAAGGCTATGTTTGCATTTTAGGCCAATAAAAAATTTCAGAGCAGTTTGAGGCTTCATCTGGAGGAGGAGAGACTACTCAGACGGTTAGAGAGTGCATTAGTCAGCTATTCGTTGCTGTAACCAAAAGATCTGAGAAGAACAACTTAGAGGAGGAAAGGTTTGTCTGGGTCCTTGATTTCAGAGGTTCAGTCCATAGTTGGCTGATTCCACTGGTAGACGGGTGAACCCAGCCTAATTCCACCTGAAGATTGGGAGCCATCTCATCACAGAGTCATAAAAAGTTAATTTCTATTTTACTGTAAATTCCTGCGATTTCCAAACTTGCTTGGAATGCCTGCCCGTGCCTTGAACTCACCCACGCATGGCTTTCCCTGACCAGATAACAACCCTCTCTGAAACCTTAGCGGCACCTCATAAATTCTGGTGTTGGGATCTAAATTGACTCCCTAACTTGAAATGTTGAACCATTTAGATCATTAACCTACTGTCTGCCTTTGGATTCTGCTTGTCAAAATCCTGTTATCTGTAAGTTCTCAAGACACCCCCCTTTTGCAACTTTTTTGTGCTATAAAACCTTGTTCCTGGAGAGCTGGGGTGATGATCTCTAACCCACGGATTTTGGGGGAGAGACAGTCCCGGCCGGCCGGAATTACAAGCTTGCTTTAATTTGGTTTAAACTTGGAGTCGGTGGTCTTTTCTTTGCTTCGTGGTTTAATGGTGGAAGAGGAAATCAGCTCAGGACATGGCACCAGGAAGCAGATAGAGAGAGAAAGAGAGCTCTACTCACCAGGAACAAAATATAAACCCCAAAGGAACACCCCCAGTGACCTACCTCCTGCAGTGAGGATATCCAACCTGCCTATGGTTACCACTGTTCGTCCATCAGAGGATTCATCCACTGATTAGGTCACAGCTCTTATCACCATCTCACTTCTGAAATTTGCTGTATATTCTCACATGGAAGGTTTGCGGGGGGGTACCTTATATCCAAAGAGAGGTATAGTTTGAAGAAATTAACGCAGGCTTGGAGTCACAGGCTCGGAGTTCCATATTCCATAACTGTGGCAGGCAGAAAAATAGTCTCCTATAAAGGTCCACCTCCTGATCCTCAGATCCTGGGGCTATGTAACTCTACGTGGAAAAGAAGAGCTTGTCTGTGGGATTAGGTTAAGGATCTGGTGTGGGCTAAACACCCTGGATTGTTCTGGTGGATTTGATGGGATCCTAAGGTTCTGAAGAAAGAGAGTCGGAGTTCAAAGAGCTGTGCTCACAGTAGCAGAGGGTCAGAGGGGAGAGAGAGAGAGAGGAAGCTCCCCCAGGGCTGCTAGCACTCAAAGTGTAAAATGGGAAGCAGGAATTCTCCAGAAGCCAGGAAATCCCAAGGAACAATTCTCCGGATTCTCCAAAGGCAGGGCGGTCCTTACCGACACGGAGATTTCTACTCAGGGAAACTATTCTTCACCTCTGAACTCTAAAAGCATATGACAATCCATTTCTATTTGTTTTAAAATACTGTCTGTGGCAACTTGTGACAGTATCACTAGGAAGCATTAGCATTCTGTCCTCATGACGTCTGACATGTAGGATGTCAAAAGACCGCGATGGAAGGTGGGCTGGTGTTCAGATACAGCAGGATAGAGATTTGTGTCACCTCCTTGCTCTCAAGGGCTTGTTGGCTATTATGTTAATGGCACTGAAGCATACAGGCTGGTGAAAGCCGAATTTTTAAGAAATACTGAAAGTAGATTTTTTTCACGAAATAAATTGGGACCTGCCAAAGATTTTGTATTTGATTCAATTCAGAAAGAACACAGAGGTCTTCACTTAAATCTTTCTGATTCTCATTTCAATTTTTCCCTTAGCAGATACACACAACCACTCCATTTTGGGGTGATGTCATTCCTGGTTCATGAAACCATTTCCAAAAGATATATATCTCCAACATTTTTATGAAGTGATTATGTGCTATTAGATGGAACCACCAGTTGTTTTCTTGGCATTTGATCCAAATTTCCATCAAATCCATCCAAGTTGTTCTGCCGAATAAACTTGATGTTAAAAAGAAAATTTTCTTCTTTAGAAGACATAGACTAGCACAAACTAATGCACATTGATGTTAGGCTGCATGGGCAATCAAATAGCAAATGCAGGTCACAGAAGAAAAGTTCTAACTGAGGTTTTGTATTTATCTTTTGCATGTCATATATCATGACATATCTCAGAAATGCATATGTATTTGTGTATCTGGACACACACAGCAATCTCATTCTGAAATACATGCTTCGTTCACTGTCCAGGTCTCAACCACCTTAAGCTGATCAACCAACGGGATGATGTCTATAATAAATCGACCTCAGTCCGGGGCTCCATGACTGCACTGAATTTTCTGTGAGATTTTCACAATACAAATCTATGCTTTTTAAAACAAAAAAAAAACAAGAAAAAAAATACCATTCCTACATGTTCCTAATCACCTTTGATTTTGCTTGAGATAGAAACTGAATTCCACCCAGAATTTTTGTGACGTTGGCGCCACTCCATCAGCTAGAACTGAATGTCTGGGCAATCTGAAAACCACTGATTGATTGGAGATTTCCATTCCTAGCTGCAGAATAGCTGAATTCTGGATGACTTCAGAACAAACACAGAAACTTATCCTAATACAGGTGTCTGTCAATGACTACATCAGTTTAGTGCAGGTAGAGCAAGACGGGGGCAGAACAGAGCTCCATCTCTAGCTGTTCCATCTATGGGCATCCGTCAGAGGACAGCTCTCCAGCTGAGTAGATTGGTGCAGCACTGGTCTAGGAACTTGTAGTCCACACGTACTACTTCCTAGAAATGACTGACGCCTGAGAGTTCTGTTTGTCTCCCTCTTGATAGTTCCTAAGCACTTGGTATTTCCGATGGTCTTCTCGTTGTTAGCGCCTTGTTTGTACTCCACTGATAATTTAGGAAGGTAGTGAGGACAGAAAAATTTCTCATGAACAGATAAGAAAATTAAAGCAGAAAAAAATGGAATGCCTTGTCACTTCCTGTCATACGATGAGCATCAGTGATGTAGCCAGTATTAGTACAGGTCCCTGAATTGGTACAGCTCTGGTACTGACTGGGCCATCACTGGGTCATCTGTCTAACCAAGGGTCTATTAACTAAGATGATTTCCAGGTTCTTTTTGACCATAGTGAGTCTAAGCATAATGGGAAAAAACCCTTAATATCACGTGATTTTCAAACTCTTCTCAACCGTCTTCCCCAAAACCCAAGAGTAGTAACAACACAGCATTCATAGGCAAGTGAGAGTTTGGCATTTTGTTGGTAGCATTGAATTTATGTCTTAGTCTTTCTTAAAATTCAACAACTACAGAAGTCCTCCCCTCATCCACAGTTTTACTTTTCATAGTTTCAGTTAATCCATGCTTAATGATAGACTGAAAATATTAAATGGGATATTAAAAAACTAAATAATCTATAAAATTTAAATTGCAAGCTGTTGTATTGTGACGAGATCTCCCGCTGTCCCGCTCCATCCAACCCAGGACATGAGTCATCCCTTTGTCCAGCGTATCCAAGCTGTATAGACTACTCACCCGTTAGTCATTTGGTAGCCATCTCAGTTATCAGATCAATAGTCAAAATACGGGTAATGTATGCCCATCTACTGTGTACGAGGGATATTTAAACATATAAAATCACAAAATATTCACATTATAGCTATGATTTACTCCTATTTGATCAGACCATTCCCAATTTTTCACTGTGCTCCACATTGTAGAATATGTGTTCATCACTGAACTCAGGCAGAGGGCAAGAGCAACTGTAGTAATCAGTGATCATCTCAGATTTAGTGGCCCCAACTATGTGACAGATGGCAGGGTGATTACGAAAGGGAGATGGGTGAGAGTCAGCAGAAGAGTTCATCCTTAAATTTCAGGGGCATCCAAGTAAAGTACAGTGACAGATATCCTCGGAGGAAAGATTTAGATATCCAACAGGGTTCACTGTAAGACTCAAATGATAAATAAAACAAAGCAAAAATAAGGAAAAAATATTTACTCATCATTTACTAACGTGCAAAGTGCTTGTTAATAATTTTCACTTTCAACCTTGGACAACACTCTAGGAGGCCATCAATGCTAATTTTTCTCCATTTAACAGGTGCTACTGAGACTCGGAGAGAGTCTCAGCATTTCTGGGATGAGAGGTTAGTTTTTTAACTCATTTGGGGAAATGCAAACTGATGTCACCACTCTTCAGCATAACCCTCTTCTGTCTTTAAATACTGACAGCTCTCCATCCTTGGGAATTCCAGAAAGATCCCAAGAGTTTCTCTGGGTTGTCCCCAGAAGGTTTCAACAGTTATTGACATTAAAGGTACAAATGCGGTCACCACAGGAACCCAGCAGTAAGGTCCATTTATTACTTATGAAATGGACCCAGGGTAGGAAAGGGCTTCCAGTCACTGACCAGTCTCATTTTCCCAAGGGGGGGGATGGATACTTACGGGACTTTTTGGTGGTGACGTTGACCGGGGGGCTTGAGGGACCTGTCCCCGCCGTGTTATAAGCTCTCACAGAAGCAAAGTAAATGGTGTTGGCTTTCAGTCCCGTGATGTTTTTGGTGGTGACATTTCCACTGACCCGGGTCCTACCAACCATGGATTCCTTGGAGTCGTCCGTCCAGTATAAGATCTGGTTATTCAAAGAAAAGAATAAGCCATTCACGGCTTTCCAACAACCATGGACTACAGGCATTTGGAGAGAGACAGTGTCAGAGACAAAAATGATTCCCAATTCCCACATTCACCGACGAATATGGCAAAACAACCAAATTACTGAAGTCTAATACATAAATAAAAAAATAAAAGATGAAATAAAAGATACCCTATGTGAATACATATTCTTAATAAAAATTAGAGAACCCGGGCTTTCCTAAATTTCCAACCTTGTGTGAAGGTTATCGGCTTCAACAAAGAGTACATAACAAATCTGAGCAAAACAAATTTCATGCATCAATCAAAGACACTAGCAATGATGTTCTGCTACTGCCATTAACACCAGAGTTCTTTGGATCATAGGGTAGTTAATAATTGAACTTATACTGATCCCTTTTCATGCTTTTAGACACAATAAAAAATAAAAAAAAAGAGAATAAAGGGTAAATACCTATTTCTAAGCCCTTACAGCCTAGTTAGGAGATTAGAATAGCTATGTGGAATGAAACCATGGGATGTTTTCCAAAGATGTGAAACAGGAAAAAAAAAAAAAAAAACTATAAGAATTTGGAGAAAGACAACATGGATCAAAGAACAGTCCTAGAGATGAGCTTTGAGAAATAAATAGGGTTCAGATAAGAGGTGTGGCACTCTAGACATGGAATGGAAGGATACTACCAAGTGAGTTTAACTTAACCTCTTGTTTGGATCAGAAGGTTCATGTTAAAAGGAAAACGATCCTTAACATGGATGTGCCTCTTAAATTTTAACAAGTTAATATTGATGACAGGTGCAATGCTGTATATCAGGTTTCTAGAACTTACTCATCTTATTTAACTGAAACTGTGTGCCCTTTGAAATAACTATCACTTGTTAATTTTCTGCTTATGATCACTTGGAAAGATTTTCTTCCCTTCATTCATTCTTTATCTTTAGACATTGCTATAGTTTAGATCTGAAGTCCCTCCCAAGGCCCCTGATTGAAGGTCCATGGCACTACCTGGGGGCATGGAACCTCTAAGAGGTGGGGCCTAGTGGGAGGAAGTTAGATCATTGCGGTCGCATCCTTCAAAAAGATATTGGGACCCTAGTGCCTTCCTTTGTCTCTCATTGCTTCCTGGCTTCCTGGAGGTGAGCAGTTCCTTGGCCACATGCTCCCATAGTGAAGAGGTCCCTTGCCACAGACCCCAAAGCAACTGGCCAAACAATCATAACCTTAATCCACCAAAACCATGAGCCAAAATAGTCTTCTTTTTAAGCCGATTATCTCAGGTATTTGGTTACAGCGATGAAAAGCTGACCAATACAGACATACAGTACAACCTAGGTCAGGGGTTCGGGGATGCTGTGCATGGACTGGTGCCTTTAGAGGAAGCGGAAAGTGCACCTAGATTACCTCGTAGCCTAGCACTCGTCCTGTGTTCCTGTTCCAGGCAATAGCGTTCCATGACACCTCCACTTCAGAAGCAGAGAAACTCTGGACGGAAGTTCCCTTTGGGGCCAGCTGAGGTTCTACCATCCAGACAAAGACAGAGCCATCCGTTAGCAGAGGGGCCTTCCAGAAAACCAATGCCACATGCACATCAGTTCTCAAGCGGAGCCAACCCAGAACTAAGGTCAACTCACCGTCTTCCCCAGAGTAGATGATGGACACGGTGCTCAGGGAGCCCTCTCCTTCGTTATTATAGACCCCCACTTTGACTTCAAAGGGAGACAGGGGCGTGATGCTGTCGTTGCGGTAGATGAACTTGGAGGATTCCACAAAGGCTACTCTCTCCTTGGTCCAGGTGGTCGAGCCCACGGGCCGGAACATGACGATGTATCCAAACCCTTCTCCGTTTTGCAGCTCTTCTGGAATGGACTTGGTCAGAATGTGGTCAATCAGGTCAGCACGGGCCAAAGTACGGTAATGAGCTATTACAATATTTAGTGGTCATTCGGCATTTCTTTTATAGAAACGAACATAGGTATTGGCCCTGTTTAGTGACGTACTGAAAAAAAATACTCTTACTTGGAATGCCAATAGGAAAATGATCCCAAAGAAAGGTTTTTAGAGCAATAGTTGAAACTTTAAAAATAAAAAACAAATCCTATACATTTATATCTAGTTCCTTAACCGTTCATGAATGACGATCATATGTGGTCTAAAAGATACATGGTTTCGAGATTAAAAACTAAAACATAATTCTAAACTCAGCACAGAATTCACTTAGTAACTGTTTAAAAGTCTATATGCTTTCATTTCACAAGAAAATCTTGTAAGATGTGGGTGATGAAATTATGTTACAATAGCATACCCTTTAAGACAGAACATTTCTCACAAGAAAGCATAAAGAATCTCCTAGTATCTTTAAAACCCATATCTTCATTTGTAGTGAAGCACTGTGTGTTTTTCCTGACATAAGCAAATATGTGATAATCTCCACAGAGATCAAATTCTATAAAATATATTCCAAAGCCTGAAATTATTCAAATCACAAAATATAAATAAGTACCCATTTCCCCAGAACTCTGTAAATAAGAAAAACGATAAGTAATCACATAGAATGAAGCAAAGGAAAAATGAATTTGGGGCTTGATTCTGGACGAGTATCCACCTGGTTATAAGAAACTTGTATTTAAAAACCGATGACTTTGGGTTGGGGTTGTGGCTCCTGGTACAGCACTTGCCTAGCATGTGTGAGTCACTGGGTTCGATTCTCAGCACCACAGGTAAATAAATAAAATAAAGGTCCATTGACAAGTAAAAAAAAAAATGTTTTAAAAAAATCAATGACTTTGTTGTGTTTTTCCAAAGGAAATGCTTTTCTGATGCTTCCTTGATATTTTGGTAAACTAAAAATGCACACCTAACAGGGCATCATAACCTGAGTCCCTCAAGTTCACAATGACATTTCTGAGACCCTCCTTATCCGTTGGAGTTCATTTACTACACAGTTGCAGTATCCCCCAGAGTTACACCACGTCTGATGACCCAGCTACAGCACCAGAACAAAGGGACCATCTTGCTCAGCATCTGTGTGTTGTTCTAGTGCAAAAATCTCTGTGCTCTAGACCAGGAGTGGTGGTGTATCCTGTAATCCCAAAGGCTGTGGAGTCGGAGGCCAAAGGATTACAAGTTTGAGGCCAGACTCCACAATTTAGCAATGTTCTAAGCAACTTAGCAAAACCCCATCTCAAAATAATAAAATAAAATAAAATAGGTCTAGGGATGTGGTTCTATGGTTAAGTGCTCTGGTTTCCATCTCTGGGATCCATCCCACCAAAAGAAAAAAAAAAAAGAAAAGAAATCTTTGGGCATGATAGTAACCAATAGAAACAACTTCTGTAAGTTCGCATCTGAAGTAGGAGGACTGGGTGGTGGGCAATCACAGGGCAGGCAATATGCAGAAGGTGGTCAATAGCAAGGGCACTGGTGCACCTAGAAGCTAAGTAAAAGAAGCTCTCGATTAGACACAGAGGAGAGAGGACTGAACTAGTAGCCAGGTATAAAATTGGAAGCAGTGGAATTGGGAAGAACTGAGGCACAGGTGAGGATTACTAAAGCCAGAGACTGTTCACAAGAACAGGTGGTTCTGGACGGGACTCCTGTGCTCAGAACAGAGATGAACAAATTTGCAGTTCTGCCTTTGACCAGGCTGCTAGGTTGCACCGACATTTCCCTGTCCTCGTTACTCTTTCCATGTAGCTTTAAACTAAATCCCCATTAACCAAGATGACCTGAGTGATTCTCTGTTTCCTGCCATGCGCAACAGCCTTAGAGATACAGAAAGTGAACAGAACAGGGAAGATACAGCTTCAGAAATGTAACAAGGATGCTGGGTCCTTCTATCAGTGTGTCTCTTCTTTTTGACAAGGAGACCAGCATTAAAGCAGTTGGTGAAACTAGGCCCATGCCAGTCATCCCAGTGGCTCAGGAGGCTGAGGCTGGAGGATGGCGAGTTCAAAGCCAGCCTCAGCAAAAGCAAGGCACTAAGCAACTCAGTGAGACCCTGTCTCTAAATAAAATACAGAATAGGGCTGGGGATGTGGCTCGGTGGTCAAGTGCTCTTGAGTTCAATCCCCGGTTCACCCTACCACCACCAACCCCCCCCCCAAAAAAAAACCCAAATAGTTGGTGACAGGAAGAGATTTGTGAGAATTTTAGAAACTTGCTGGAATATTAGACTTGTCGGGGAGGCTTCTCTGAGCTCAGATGTCATCAGAATGCTGACTCAGAATTCATGGAGAGCTGCATGTGTCAATTGACTACAAGGACTTTCCTGCAGGTTCAGTTGAAGGGGAACCAAAGAGACTTCTTTTAAGTTTTTTCTTTTCTTTGTTTCTTTCTTTTTTTTTCATATGGACAGAGAGTCACAGGATGAAGAAATGTGCATAGCTGTTTCAAGAAAGCAAAAATGAGAGTTTCCTCCTTTAAACAGAGAAAGGGGTCAGTAGAATGAAAATTTCTAGAGGGAGTGAAATCCATTGCGGATAGATAAAGACTAATGATTTAGTTTGCAACCACAGCGTCGTAAGAACTCAATCTACAGTTAGAAGCCAAGGCTCAGCAACCTCCACGCCTTCTAGCCAAATCTGGGGCTCAGCCTGGTTCTGAAAATAAAGGTTTCAGGAACACAGCCACCCATGTTCATTTACATGTGGCCGGTGGCTGCTGCTGAGCTACAACAGCCCAGAAAAAAGCTAGAGAAGGATCTTGTGGCCCACAGGTTGACTAATTTCACTCTCTGACCCTTTACATAAGAAAAAGTGTCCACTCTCATTATGAATGTCCACCTCCTATTTTATCCTACAGAGTTAATCTATGCTCATGTTTTCTAGGTCACATTCACCACGAGCCCCTCCAACTTAGAAGTGTTTGGGAGCATACAGCATGAACACGTGCAAATGTCCATTTTGCCTTTATTTATTTTGATCTGTGTCCAGCAACCAGACATGATATCCAACTTGTGGAATATAGCAATTGCTAATTCCTCAGAAAGGAATAACATGCACAGAATTCGTGAGCATCCCACCTCATATATAGACTATAACATAATTAGCTATCGACCTTAAGGAATTTCTGACCACCGGGGAGAGAAAATAAGGTGTGAAACCAGCAAAACTTGCCCACTATAATGAAAATACTATGTGGCCTTTGCCGAAGCGATTCTCTTGGTAGACTCATGGGAAGGTTAATTAATTTGTGGAAAATATGTCCAGAGGGTCAAGAACAGTAGGGCAGATACACAAGGACTCTTGCTCACCCTGAGCCATCAAAGTGCATGGGGGACAGTTCATATTCTAACTCATGGCAAACTAAAAAAGCAAGAAGAGGGAGCGCTGGGTTCAAATGCTTCTCTGTGCAGTGGTAGCTTTAGTTTCCTCACCTGCAAGGGCTCTGTGATATGGGTTGGATATGAGGTGTCCCCCCAAAGCCCACATGTGAGACAATGCAAGAAGGTTCAGAGGACCTTGCCACCGGGCTCCCTGCTTGTCCATACTCTTAAATGCCCGAGTAACTTCTAAAATGGAGAGAGATCTGCAAAGCTTACTGGTGGCAGAGTGAGAGAGCAAAGCTCCGGCACGGACAGACCTTCCACCCGACGTGGAGCAAACGTGCTTGCTCTCAAGTGTATAGTTGGAATCCTCAAAGAGGGATTGTCCATGAGCAGCCTTGAAAGGGACTCTGTCCCCCAAAGATCACCTACAACATCAAGATTGTGGGCACAAACCACCAGAATCCAGAAACTAGGAAATGCCTTCAGCAGCCATTTGGATCTGTACTAAGGAATGATGACTGGGGGGTCCTCCGTGGGAGCTCTCCAAGGGAACAACGTCCCACCCCAAACACAGTCACAGCCCACAGTGCCCTGTAAAACACTGTCTTCTGGCCATTTGCTATGTTTTATATTTGCCACGGCCAAATTACAAAGGGATCAACCATTAGCACCTAGCACCTAGCACCTATTCTACCCCTTTCCTTTCCTCCCACTCCGACCCTCTAGAACCATGGAGAATCCAGGGATAGCACAGTGAATGAGTGCTATGGCTTAGATATGAAGTGTCCCAGGAAAGCTCTTGTGTGAGACGATGCAAGAAGGCTTAGTGGTGAAATGATTGGGTTATGAGAGTTGGAACCTAGCCAGGAGATTAATCCAATGATATGAATTAAATAATGGTAACTAGTCAGGTGGGGTGCGGCTGGAGGAGGTAGGTCACTGGGGGGCGTGCCTTCAGGGTTTATATTTTGTCCTCGGGGAGCTGAGCTCTTCCTGCTTCTCTGTTGCCATGTCCTGAGCAGCCTTCCTTGGCCTCCACCTTCCGCCATGTTGTCCTGCATCACTTGGGCCCAGGGCAATGGAGCCAGCTGTCTCTAGACTTCTGAAACCAAGGAGCCCCACATCAGCCTTTTCTTTTCTCCTTGTTCTTGTGAGGTCTTTTGGTCACAGTCATAAAGAAGCTGAGTAAAATAATGAGGAATGGGAAATTGGCAGAGAAAATGGAGGAGAGCTAAGAACGGACTCTCCTTTCCCTCTCCTGCTACAGCATCAGGGGCCAAGACAGTCCTGAGACGCTAGAAATGAGAGACGGGCAGAAAGTCTAAAGATAAAAGGCCAGAACCAAATTTGCCATCCGTACAAGTCAAGTCAATATGATATTAAACACAGTGAGCAGAAAAGGTATTCCACGGGCCTAAATATTCATCTGGATGCTGCAAAGAACAAGTCCACAGGATACAAAAAGCAATGTTAGAGCAACAACCATCCTCGGCCTGTTGGCTAAGGGGTTCACCTCCCTCACATTAGAATAGTTCTAATAATAATAATAGTAATCTAGTAATAATTAATAATAATAATAATTCTAATAATAATCCAGCTCAACCAGAACTGGTCCTAAAGAAAAGGCTACCAACCAATGCTCCCTAGATATTGAAGTTGTTTTTCTTATACTGGGGAGAAAACTGTGCTGAGTTACTCATCCTCTCATCCCTTAGTACGAGTTAGAATTTCCTAATACCACCCCTAAGTCATTCATCATCAGAACGGTGTATTTTTATCCCATGTATTTTCATATATTCGCAAGAGTGATCCAATAAATCTTTTTGTGTTGTTTTTTTTTTTTTTTCCTTCAGTGTTCTTCCTGCCTGGCTAAATCTTTTTTCCTTCAAAATAACTTAGTTGGACATAAAATTACCTCCCACGTAATGACGAGTTCGGATCGGCTTCCTCCACCTCCGCTGACGCTTACCGGGGCCACAACAGGTACTGAAAGAAATCAAGAGAAACGGTTGGGGTGGGGGTTGGGGGGGGTAGCAATTATTAAAGCACATCTTCATCAGGAAGAAAAATTCGTTTCTGGGTTTCACCTTTCAAAAATCCCACCCAGGCACACTGGGAGAGAGAGAGTCTTGCATTTTTAATGAACATAAATTATGTTTACACAGATCCAAAATTTCTAAGAGGAGAGAGGACACAGTTGTGTTTGATGCATGAGCACCCCGGCTCCAAAATTAATTAAAAATCGAGTAACGTCTTGCATTTGACATTATTATGCATCATCTACTAATTGGCAAAATGATGTTCCATTCAGATGGTATCAGAGATACCGCTGATTTAGTACCTAATTATATAGTTGGGCTGTAAACAAGTTACCGTGGCAGTATATTAATTAATTATTTTTGTCAATAAACAAACTAAAAAGAATTTTTTTTTTTCTCTCCTTATTTGCCATCAGGGTATCTTAACATTTAAAAATGAAATTCTTAAAAAAATATGTAAATGAATGAGTTTTTATTTTATCACCTTGTGTTTGAATCTCACAACTCTCAGGAAAGAGTAAGAGGGGCTTGTCCCTTTTAGAGTCAGAATTTTCTCATGTAAAGAAGGTGACTCTGAGGAGCGTCCCTGTATCCCCCGTGGAATACTCAGAAACCAATAATTCTGATGAATCATACAAAACAGTGCCCTTCGGCTATACCCTTCTGAGGATGAGTGTAATAAATAAAGTTTCCAGGCAAATTGCAAAATTGACCATTGCTATTGTGTCATGTATAATGCAGTGCATGATCAGGTGAGGCTTTGTAGGTGTGGAACTGTTAAAAAAAAAAAAAAAAGCACTATTTTTCTTGAGAAAAGGACAAAGGTATCCTGTACCTTGGATAGTGATAACGCTGCTGAGTATGCTTTCAGGTCTGCTAGTTATGTGGTGCGTGAACGATGTGAAATTACGTCTGGCCATTGTGACCGATATTGCAAGGTGGGGTTAGAAGCCATCTGGGTAGGGCTGGGGACCAACCGGCTTGCTGGGGTTAAAAGAGGCCAGGCTTCTCTGCTCACAGCAACTACTTTTCCCCACCGTGCACAGACCATTTCAGGAAATCTAGTATTTCATTTCCTTGCATTTCATACACATGCTTATCTCTGTCCGCAACACAGCCAGAGGATAATCTGTTCTTTTACAAAACAGCATCTGCCCAACACGCATTTTCCTCTTCAAATTTACCCTTGGTTTTTTGTTTCCTTCTAATTTTATGAAGAAGATCACTAGAACCTACAGATGCTTTCTCTAATATGCAGAAACTAGGGATTAAAAAAAAGGGAATGAAATAGGGGATCTTCCTTAAAATAGAAGGAGATCAGTACAGTAAAAGGGGGGAAGAAATGGGAAGGAAGTTGGCCCAACGATGCTATGTGCATGCAGAAATATATCATGATTTTGTTCCAATTTTATATATGACTATAATATGCCCATTAAAAATAAATCAATGGATAGAAGGAAGATCAATAGAGCAGAAGGAGGGAACAGGAAAGTACTGGGGATTGAATTAGAACAAACTATGTTAATAGGCATTTACGGGTGGATCAAAATGAGCCCCGCTATTCTGTACAACTATAATGCACTAACAAAAATATTAGGGAAAAAAAAACCCAAATCATTTGAACCTTGACCTATTTTCTTAATCTTTTTAATACCTTTGGTCAAAATTTCCATCAATCAGGATAGATTCTACCAGGCCACTGGGTTGACAGTGCTTGGCAGGTTACAGGGACATTATTTCAGGGCCTTTGCCTCATTGAGGTGTGTACAGCAAATTGTTGGAAAAGAGACTTGGGGTTCGCTCTCTCTAAAGTTTCCAGTTTCCTGTGAAACATAAAGTTCCATTCTTTATTTAATTTTCAGATTAACTACAATAAGGCTGAAAACCATATTGAGAAGAAATTGGGTCTGTGAGGATGGGGGAGAGGAGAGGATAGGAGAGAGGAAGGGGAACTTCAGCAGGATTCGTAAACTTGGGGGAAATCAGGATAATAGCACAGCTCACTGTGGAGGACAGCGTTCATGGTCAGTACAAGGTGGTACACAGATTGTAAGCTAGAAACTCCATAGTTTGGGTCAACGTTGCCAAAGATACCCAAATTAACAATAATAATAATAATAATAATAATAATAATTATTATTATTATTATAATATCAGCTGTAAACAACCAACCAGAAACCAAAGCTAATATACAGAGTCATCAGTCCACACCTAGAGATTCTGATGTCAGGCTTGGAAATTTCTTGGTTTACACCCTTTCTCTGGCTAACCTCTTGCTCATCTAAGTTGAGGCTCACTGTTATTTGGAGAATGCTGTGCTCACAGCTGTTCCTCCTAATCCAAACTCTGCCCAAACAACCAGCTAACATCCTGATCCTCATCTTCCTCTCCTGTGAAGGGAAGGAACTTCTTCTCAGCCCTACACCTGCTGCATGATTTAATTAGATGTTATTGCTGCAAATCATATTTTTTTCTAGAGCCAATCCTCTGATGGAAATATGACATTAGGCCCCGGGGAGGCAGCTCAGTTGGTAGAGTACTTGCCTAGCATGTATGAAGTGCTTGGGTTGATCCCTAGCCACACACACTCACACACACACACACACACACACATTACCTTCAGTTTAGAAATTGAATTATAACTATGCATGTCTTTTGAAATGAGCTCATGCTAGTTCAACCAAGCCAGCCACAGTGACGTGACCCTTTTTTTGTAGGACTGGACAAGAAGATCAACTTTACGAGCTACCAGAACAAGTTGATATGCTGTCACCCTGGATGCGGAAGTTTGAGCCTAACAAAGAGGATCTATTGAGAAAAGCTCAAGAAGACTGATTCCAAGGCCAGTTCCACCTATGTTCTGCTGTTCAGTGTACCAGTTGGTGCTTAATTAGAGCTTCTGTTAAATCAGTTGAGGGTTTACCTCATTTGCGTGGGCAGGGATGCATGCTCTTGTCCAATGTCGCTGTAAGTAGGTCAGAGTTGGGAAACAGATGAATATGTATGGCTACCTGCACCAGAGACTCTTGGAATTCTTGGCTACCACATCTCAACGAAACAAGCAGTCACTGGTTGGCATCTACCGACCTGCAGAATCTCTATTAGATTTTTGCTAGAAAATGGATAAGACGCACAGATGGCTTCTGAGATGCTCTTATTCTGATAGTCTTGCTAAGGGGTCACCATCTTTAATTCGACCCACTGTTCAAGGAAGTACACCTTGCCTGGTACAGATAAAAATGTAAATAAAAATGAGCATCCCTTGCTCACTGCCAAGTCCTACAAGACCCATAAAAATACTTCTTAATTTTTTTTCTATTTCTGCACTTTTCAGAGACATTGATTCCTTACCTGACGCCTTGGTTCTTAACAATTCCGATGGCTTACTCGGTTCTCCGATGCCAATGCTGTTCCCGGCGACAACCCGAAATTCATACTCCACCCAGGGACTCAAACCAACCACGGTGGCATTGTGTGTCTGACCGTTGAGAATTTCAGGGACTAAAAACAAAGGGACACTTACGGCGATGGATTGGCACTAGCCAAAAACAAATGATCATGTGAAATGATTATTAAATTAAAAAAACTGTAAAATTACATTTGTTTACGTTAATAAATTTAAAAGTCTTTGCTTTTGGTGGTTGTTAGAACATAAAAGCACCTGTGTCACTTACCTGTAGCAACAGCTTGCCAACCCACAGAAAAAGGTGTCCGTGTCTGAACTGTGAATATTTGAATGGGACTGTTGTTATCCGGGCCTGGTGTCCACCTTAGCTGGGAGGTGGTACTAGAAATGTGTTCTACTCTCACATCCTCTGGGGGACCTGGAGGACCTTGAGAAAGATATTTTATGATGACTGTATTAGCGAATTATTTTTTAAATATATTTTTTAGATGTTGATGGGCCTTTATTTTATTCATTTATTTATATGCGGTGCTGAGAAATCGAACCCAGTGCCTCACACATGCCAGGTGAGGAGCCACCACCCCATCCCTGTATTGGAGATTTTTAAATGCTGTGATTGATAAGGACGGTCTATTTCTACCTGTTACGCTTAGAAAATAAAATATTGACAATCACGTGTGTGTGCAGCACATAATTGGAGATTAAGTCCTATTAACTCAGCTTACACAGTAAAGCATCCGTGTGGAAATGCTCCCTCCAGAGATTAGAAAATGCTAGACACCGGGGGAGACTGTATAGCAAGCAAAAACTGAGAAGAGCCTCTTCTAAATTCTCCTTTCAAAGATGAATGCAAGGAAAAGCAGGTAGAAAGGATAACTACAGATGCAGGTGGACTTTTCTCTGACAAGAATGGTTTCTTAATATGCAAAGTCTAAGATTATGGCACTAGCAACACTGGTCAAGCCTGATCATTTATCATAAACAGACAAAAGCCAATCAAATGAATGCTCACCTCGAACAATGACATCGGCCACAGCCGACAGACGTTCGAGAGTCGTCTGCACCGTGCAGAGGTATTTTCCTGAATGGCTCAACTGAATATTCCGTATCATCAAATCCCCGACGGATTCCTGTAGGTAGAAAGAGAGAAAAAAAAATGAATAAGGGTATCATCATGCACAGCAAGTCTTGTTATTTTATAGAGCTGGATAAATATTAAATATAAGGCTGCTCTGAAATCTGAAGACATTAGGATTATTGTAGTTTCTATCTTTGATGCCTTTGACGATCCCCTTTATTATAATTGCATCTAGGAACCAAGTATTTCTATGAGACCCATAAAACAAAACACAACAAAACAAAAACAGATGCGGCTTCATGAACAGTGATTATCCGCACAGATAATATGGGGAGAATGATTATGAGTGACGGTGATTCACGGGAGGGTCTTGATTCCTGTTATTAAGCTCCCAGCCATGGCACACACTTACTCCTCCGATCCTTTCAAAGTGAGTCACTCCTTTCTTTAAGTCGATGACATCACCATTGAAAGACCACAGGAACACCACGTCCATGGAGAGGTCATGGGACACCTGGCAGGGGAGGACGATACTCTCTCCCACGGTGACATCCATTGTGGAAGGGGGGACCGTAATGACAGTCCTCTCTATTGAGAGAAGAAGAATTAAGAAAAGCCAATAAAATGCCAACCTCTGGGTAAGATATATACATATATATATGTGTGCAGGTATATATATGATTTTAAAAAAATATTTTTAAATATTTATTTTTTAGAAGCAGTTGGACACAATACCTTTGTTTTATTTTTATGTGGTGCTGAGGATCAAACCCAGGGCCTTGCATGTGCTAGACAAGCACTCTATCACTGAGCCACAATCCCAGCCCCTATATATGATTTTTAAAAAAAGATTTATTTTATTTTTTTTGGTACCAAGTATTGAACCCAGGGGTGCTTAGCCCCTGAACCACATTCCTAACCTCCCCTTATTTTATTTTTAGTTTTGAGACAAGGCCTTGCTAAGTTGCTGAGGCTGGCTTTGAACTTGCAAAACTTGCAATCCTTCTGCCTCAGCCTCCTGAGATTCTTGGACTACAGACATGTTCCACTGTGCCTGGCTAAACATATTTTTGAATCATATGCAATCATTTAAAGTCATCCGAAGTTCAACCACATTCAGTGTTTTTTTTTCAAATATTCTGTATTTATATAGCTTATGACTTATAATGAAAGGTATCATTTTATTCATACCTCATATGAAAACACTTTACAGAAAACTACAGACCTCCAAAGCCAGTGTTCCATAGGTATAGAGTGTACCATGCTCTTTTAAATTTTTATTCTAAAATTTCAGTCATAACCTTGCAATTTGCACAGTGGTTATAACCCTAAAGAGTCTCTGTTACCTTCAGACCCCATCAGACCCACTGTGTCCCTAAGGTTATAACCACCATAGTTCACGTAGAGTGTGATAATCATATGCGTTTATTTAAAAGTATGAAAGCAACGTATTTTTTCTATTTCTGACATACTTCTGATCATAATTTTCTATTTAAGCTAAACATGAAAAAAAAACACCCACATTTTCCTTCTTTAATCCGGAATTTGCAATAATAGAATTTTGCATCCATCATAAAAACCTTCCCACTGGAGATGACAGTCTCAATGTCAACCCCTTGTCACAGGCAACAGCATTTCACTGACTAATATTTCCAAGGACAATTCCGAAAGTGCTCTGGTTGTAGACAAGAGTCCTGTATTTTTTTTTTTTTTTGATTAAAAGAAACTCACAATGAAATAAGCCAATCCCACAGAACCAGAGGTCAAATGTACTCCCTGTATGGGGATACTGACTCACACTAAGGGAGGGAATAGAAGTTCATTGGATTAAAGGGATGGGAACAGGAAAGACGGTAGAACGAAGTGGACATCACCTTCCTATGTTCAGATATGAATGTACGACCAGTGTGGTGCCACGTCATGTACCAACACATGTATGTATCATATGTCAAAATACAGTATATTATTAAGTATATGTAAAAAGAGCAAATACATTAAACAAAAAGAAACTCACAATGATAATGGTTATGGTTTGGATATGAGGTGCCCCTTCAAAGCTCACGTGGGAAACAATGCAAGAACATTTCAGGGGTGAGATCATTACATTAGGAGAGATACAATAATTGGTGGTTTAATCCACTGATGTGAATTAACTAGGTGGTACCTGTCGGCAGGTAGGGTGTGGCTAGAGGATGTGTGTCATTGAGGTTGTGCCTTTGGGGTTTATGTCTTGTCCCTGAGGAACAGAGCTCTGTCTCCTTCTGGTTGCTGTATCCTAAGCTAGTCTCCTCTGCCATGATGTTCTGCTTCACCTTGGACCCAAAGCGACAGAGCCTACCAAATCTCCAGAACTGTAAGAAATCGGCTTCCTTTCTTTATGAAACACTCTTGCGTCACAGCAACAGCCAACAAAGACAGGGTGTCCGTGTATTTTACAACAGAGGGTCGCATTAGTATTCAAATGTTTAAAAACTTCCCAAGCGTTCTTCGTCCAGACTTAGAAGTGGAAAGCAGACTGTCACAATCTAGGGTTTTAAGGGACGTATTGATAAAAGAGTCATGGGAAAGAGAAGCGTGCATTCTACTTCAGAACACAATGAAGAAAATTCCTCATTTGGTTTCAATCTGTCTTCAAGCTTTAATTTTCAAGAAATATTTTTCTTCTTTTATTAGATTCATGCACTTTTTTTCTTCTAATCTTCTCTAGGGAGGGGTTTCAAGAACAGTTTTATGTACCATGTTCATTGTTAATTCCAAGCCTCCTCCCCATCTCTCCCACCAAATCAGAGTAAACGATATCTAATATTTTAAGAAAATCTTATAAGACTAGGGAAAACTTTTTCCTTTTGTAGTGTCTTAAAAAAATAATTAATATCTTATTTATGTGTGTAGGAGAATAAGTTGCCTCATTGAATATGATTAAACATTTGAGATGGTACAATAATGTAATTTTTGAAACATTAAAAATGAAAGCCACTCCTCCCATCTATGACACCCACACCCACACAGTGACAAATTACGTCTTAAAAACAAAGCTTGTTGGTAGTACAGTAATAATGAAATAATGACTAAAAATTCAAGAATAAGATACAGTGGCATTAGAATTTGATAAGATGGTCTTGCTTGGTTTTCTGAAAACTCACGTTTAGAACATCAAAATTTAAATTTTTAGCAGCTACCTTTTCCGTGGATAAAAATGGGAAGTGACATTAGTGACTCTTGGCAAAGGCAAGGTCATAAATACTTTTTGTTAAGTTTTCATTTTGCAAAGGATCTTTCTGCCAATTTGTCTTTTTGAAACCATTCAGAGTTTTCTTTAGACTGCAATATGAGTCTAAATTCTTTTTTGTTTTTTTTCTTTAGGTACTGGAGATTGAGCCCAGTGGTGCTTAAGCACTGAGCCACATCTCCAGATCTTTTGGTTTTTTATTCTGAGGCAGGGTCTTTTTAAGTTGCTTAGGGCCTCACTAACTTGCTGAGGCTGTCTTTGAGCTTCACATCCTCCTACCTCAGCCTCCTGAGCTGCTGGGATTACAGGCATGTGCCACCACATTCAGCTGTTAATATAAGTTTCTGAAAAAATTACTTTAAAGTATAAATTTTAGAACATCTAGAGCTGATTGTTCTCATGGAACAAATTTTTTTGGTGGGGTACAAGGGATTGAACCCATGGGGGCACTTAACCACTGTGCCATGTCCCCAACTCCCTTTATTTTCTATTTTGAGACAGGATCTCCTTAAACTACTTAGGGACTAAGTTGCTGAGGCTGGCCTCAAATCTACAATTCTCCTTCCTCAGCCTCTCAAATCACTCGGATTACAGGCATGTATCACCATACCTGGCTTGGAATCAATTTTCTAAAAAAGATTAAACCCTATTTCTTTCACTATAAAATCCATTTTGTGTAAGCCTGAATTGAATTGTTAATGTACATGTATACAAAAAAAAAAAAAAAAAAAAAAAAACTTTTATTTTTTGTATGGCATTTTCTGTAACTTTGGAGGAGTTTCTTTAAGAAACCATAAGTGAACTTTCATGATCTGGGTCTAACTCACGATGCCAGTTATTCATTCCATTGCAGTATCTTCAATTATAATGAAAAACTCATTAATAACTGGCTCCCCTGGAGCTTCATATAAAAATAGGGTTTTGTCCTTAAATGGAATAATCTTCAAATTAAATTTTTATTCCTAACCCCGTGAATATTAGCTTTGCAATGTTGCAGAAATGTTCTAAACCCTAGATTTTAAATTCTTTAAAGAATCTGAGTCACTCTGGGATATGCTTTATGGTAGTGTCCATATTCAAGTGGGGAAAAAAATAGTCTGTGATAATTTACTAACAAAGGCTACTTCTTGACCCCAACAGTCACTGCCCTGGTTCTCAGGCTGAGCGTTAGCATTTCTGTGAATGCCACAGGGCTAGCTCTGGCATGGGCAGGCTGGCCTCCTCCCACCCTGGACCCTGGGGCTGACTGAGTCCCTCCTTACCCCACAGGCTTTGCTGATATCCACTCCAGTTCTTGATGCCCATATCGCCTCCACCCCTATGGGCTCAGGACCTGATGTGCTCACGCCCGGCAGGCTGCAGGACCCAGACGGCAGCTATGCACACATGCACACACCTGCACAGGGCACCCACAGCTTGCATGAATGCTACCTGTGGGTCCTCAGGCCTGACTGGGCTGGGGTGTGCGTGGGTTGCTGCCATCGAACTGTAACCACTTACTCACAGCACCACCAGTGCATGCGTGTGCTCCACCGTCCCACTAAACTACATGAAAAGCAGGCTCAGAGACAAAATAACTAAGAATGTCAAAGCCATAACAGCAGAACTTTAAAATAAGCATGGGGCATTCCTGAGCAAGGGTCCCTGTAAGAGTGAGTTACCTGTTCATCACCCTGAATGCCATGATAAGAAAGAGTCTCTTTCTAGGCACAGTGGTTCACGCCTGGAATCCCAGCAGCTCAGGAGGCTGAGGCAGGAGGATTGCAAGTTCAAAACCAGCCTCAGCTGGCCCTAAGCAACTTAATGAGACCCTGTCTGTAAATAAAAAAAAATAAAAAGGGCTGGGGATGTGGCTCAGTGTTGGAGCGCCCCTGGGTTCAATGCCTGGAATGAGAAAGAAATATTCTCTGACATAGAAGAAGAAAGCAGAGTAGAATATGTTTAAGCAAAGGTGGGTGGGCACGAGTGGGGGGAATGGGCAGACATTGCTCACAGAGTAAAAAGTTTCAGTTAGACAGGAGGAATAAGTTTCTGACATCTATGGCACAGCAGGGTGACAATAGTTAATAATAATGTACTGTATATTTCCAAATCGCTCAATGAGTAGATTTTTCCATGTTTTCATTACAAAAAGAATAATAAGCCTGCTATGTGATGGATATGTTAATTAGCTTTAATCATTCCACAATGAAAATGTGTTATCAAAATATCATATTGTGCTTTATGAATATATACAATTATTTGTCAATTAAATTTTTTCAAAAAGATAGTGGAATCTATTTCCTAAAAGATATGAGGAGTATGAGAAATAAGAAGCAAGCAGTGGTATAATGGCATTGCAGCATCTGCACTGTGACAA